TTTTATCAACACTTCTTGGTCCAAGTCAACAAAGGGTGCCAAGGGAATTCCTCCAGTGCGTACCTTTCTCGTGACCCAAATCGATCTTGGCTGTTGTCTGGAGACAGGAGAATGACCAATCAGGGAGAGGGAAAAGGGGACAGGACTAATCAAAAGGCGAGATTTCAGGGGAAATCCTATAAAAATCCTGAATCTCAAGATTGGGAGGCAGTTCTTTTCAAAATATCTACTGCAATAGATCCTACCGAAGAACTTGAAATTTGCCTGACCACCTCTCCTAACTCATCTCTGCTCCAGGGCCAGCCACATCACCAATACACACATTCACATTGTCTTCAACAGATGAGTGCATCCAATCTTCGACAGGAACTGTTATTTTAGTATTATGTAAGTTGTTTTTCATTTAAATAAATGGTTTACTGTTAGACATATGTCATCTTTGTCTTTTCCACCACCACCCACATATGAATGGACCCTAGACCATCACTGATGCAGAATTAATTGATTCCCCCTAAAAGTTGGCAACTTACAGAAAGTTTGAAGTAAACACATGTATATTCACCACCTGGCATTGAAAAAGGGCAAACCTGTAAACAAGAAAAATATGATCATGAGCTTGATGCTTATAAGTACAGTAAAACCTGTCTACGGAGACCACCCACGGTTCCTTCAAAAAGTGGTCTTTTAGACAGGTGGTCGTCCAATACAGGTGGTGCTGTAATACCGTATTTCTGTGCGTATTTTGCACACTTTTTAGCCATTTCTACTGAGCAAAACTCGAGGTGAGCAAAAATAAGCGAATTTTTTCAACGATAGGGCTATATTCATACTGTATTTTATTCTTATCGGATAACCCGATTTACAGGAGTCGTCATGATATTATAAAACAGATTTAACACTAATATTTTAAAGATTAATACAATAGTCACATTTTCTCAATTATAATGCACACTTTCTTTTTTCTGACTTAATTAATTCGACTCGGTTATTTTCGTTCGCTCCTCAGTTACCTGTATTACGTCATCAATATACAAGTGCGTCCTATCTTTCCATCACTTTGCTTTTGGTTTTCGTTATTTTAACTTTAAAAATACTGTATTTTTTAAATATTTAATATTTTCTTAATTAATTAAGTACAATAAGAAAAATTATTAATTAATAATAAAATGATTTTATTATTTTTTCTCATTATATGATTTCATTACATTCCGCGATTGTCATTGCGGACAGTAGCGTAGGGGGCGGCACTTTTTAGGGGGCGGCAAAATTTGACAATAAATAATAATAATATTTTGTAAGGATTTGAACCATTTTATTTCATATTTTCGTCCACCTACGATTCGGACCGATTGAAATGAGCACGGAATAGTGGGGATAGTGTTACCATCCGACTCGCCGTCTGGGGATATCGTGAGCAACCTGTCGACCTTTTTTATTTTTATTTTTTTGCTTGTACGATACATTCGTATCCATATACACCTCCAACATCCAATAGGGCTAAGTCATCTAGATTACTTACGTTACTCCTACCCAAGTCTCCCTAGTCGCTAACTGTAACTGATTTAGAACCAGCATGCATTGCAAATTATTCTTCATTGCAAAATGATATACGCATGCGTCAGGAACTTCTGTTCGAACAAACCTCACCTGCCGTCAGGATCGACGATTTTAAAAAGGTGGCAACACTAGCACGGAATTTTTCATTACTTATTCTGTGACGAAACTGAATTTTAGTCTTTTAAATTGAGATACCTAAATAAGGGGGCGGCGAAATTTTCCTCCGCCCCNTACAATAGTTTAGACCAGATACATTCGCGAAAGTGGTCGCTTATTACAGGTGTTGTATGTTGTTTCGGACCAAAAATCGATGCCCGCGGTCGCGTTACACAGGTGGTCGTTTAATATAGGTAACTTATACGAAGACTCTATGGATAAACTATTCCGTGCCAGAAATTTTTGCCCGTTTTGGCAGGTGCCCGTCGAATGCAGGTGGTCGCCTAAGCAGTTTTCACTGTAGTATTTTTTTGGGAATTTAAGAAATTTTTAGAAGTGTTGAACATGAGATTGTGTTATTAATCAATCACATGGCTTCTTTTCCACTTTTATTTAGTTTCAACTAAATAATCATTCAGCCATCCAGCCGTCTACATTATTACCAGTGATATAATACTTACAACAAAAACACTTAATGCTTATTTTTTATTTATGAAATATATATATATATATATATATATATACTTGAATTAAAATACTTCATTACTTTTCAAAGTAATCCCCACAATATTTGTCACATGTGCTAGTATTTTATTGGTTAGTGCTTGGATTTCACGAGAAAAAAAAAACATTTTAGGCTGTCTCAGCACAGCCATTTGTTCATCAATTTTCACCTCATCCTCTCTGCTTAAATTTTTGCCACTGAGAATCTTCTTAAGTGGTTCAAAGATATGATGATCTTGTGGTATGAGATGAGGTGGATGGGGATTGTGGAAAACACTTTATATGCTGATCTGAAATTTTTTGTTCTCATAGAGATGTTTATGGCCATGTATTTTCATGTTGTAACAGTATTCAGAACTGAACAAACAATGATATTTGGACCTAACTGCATATTTCAAATGATTCTGAAACAAGTCATAATATGCTGTACTGTTTGCTGATAATCCTCTGGGTATACAGTATAGTGTTCCATAATTGAACCTTTATGCGCCCAAGAAAATGATTATTACCTTGCTAGCCGAAGGAGTTGTGCAAAATTGTTTTTTTCAGTGATATGGAATATCTATATCCCTTGCTTGTTCACTTAGTCTCTGGCTGAAAGTAATGAACCCATCATTCGTCGCCAGTAATTTCACTACTGAAAAACTAAAGAACTGCATGCTGCTCTTCTTTGGAGCATATCTATAAGGGTGTCATCATCTTTATTTAGGTCTACTGATGTTGTAATCTATGTGATGCATGGCATACTTGCACACACTGAATCTTCGTAGGTTAATGACACTATCTCAAAATTATAGTCACTCCAATGAGATTAACATTTTATGTGATTATATTAAGGTTACTTTTTGACTCATCCTCATATAATAATAAAACAAAACTATGTGTTGTGACGTTTTGTTTTTGTATTTTTAGCTATCCATCAACCAAAGCCGAATATTATTGGGCTAGAAATGGCTATAACACTAATAATTTAATAGAGAATTTGGCATTAGAGTTAGGCATTAGGTGCCATCTCTTGATAAATTTAATAATTATAAATTAATTAAATAATTTAAATAATAATTTAGAATTACTGGAAGAAAAGAATCGGCTCGAAGTGGGCTCGAACCCGCAACTCTTGCTTACCTGCAGATACATTGCCAATTATGCTACCCGGACCTTCGGTCCGATCTCCTCTTCCAGCTTTTAGTTTTATTCTCTCTGTTTTTAGAGATGGTTTTATAATAAATGTACAAAAAATTACCTTTTGTCCTTTTGTATTAAAAGTTACAGATTAAAAAAGTAATTAATGCAAAGACTGAATATAACTACAATGCCTGATCCTGTTCATTATGTTTTAAACATTGAATGAATATGATGTAGTATTTGGATAAATTGTATTTATCTTTAATTTGATTGACAAAATAGAATGAGGAATTTGTGATTCAACCAAGCAGTTTCATTCCCTGAACACTGGAAGTTCAGTTGTGGGTTCATGCCTTGCCAGAACAGGCTGGCAACGTGGAGTTTTTCAGCTTTTCTGCATCTGTAACGCCTGAATAGCGGCCAGTTACACTTAAAAATACCTCCCTGAAGGCATGCTTCTAGGCAGATCACCTAGTGTTGTATTGCCATAACTTAACAAACAAAGAATTTATGATTCAAACATCAAAGAAAATTGCAATGAAAATAAATTTTGACATGACGTTTTTTTTAATTTTATTCTTTTTTTATATCATAAAAGATACAATTTTTATTCTCTGATGAGCCTTAAGAAAACTTTATTCATGTTCACCATGTTGCCAAGTATTAAATAATTGAATCTGAAGAATCACTCAGCGTTGATTAAATTTAATGATCTCAAAAATTAATCCAAATACTGGACATGCAAGCATTCGTGCTTACTAACTATGATATACAATTTCTCTGGGACCGGTCGTAACAATAAAACTGACAGGTTCCCAATTGCCAACAAACAATGGAGCTTACTCTAACTTATGTTTAACTTAACTAAATTACACTAATATTGGGCCCAAAATTTTGGGGGAAGGTAAAAGAATCATATAAATATTTAGGAATTATAGGAAATGAAAGGTTCAAAGGGGTGACCGCAAGAAATAAATAAAACCTTGGATCCATTCCTTAGTAATCGTCTTCTTCCTGCACTCATCCTCGTGTATTGTCCATCCTGCTCTCCTCTCTTCCTGAAAAAGCATCCATTCTCTTTTGTTCAAATCTCCCTCCTTTCTCTGCCAATAACCCCTTGACCAATATGGTGTCACCCCTTTTCTGCTATAATAGAACAGACCAGTACGAGTTAACCAATTACGGAGTGGTTAGGGGAATAAAGGCCAGAAGTATAGTTTTACCACAGGAAGTTGGTATAAGAAAAATAAATAACAAGGCTTAATTGAGCCACAACTATGAGTTGCCCTGGCACATAATAGGATGGTTGGACTGTGAAGGATGAAACTGTGTGTATCTGCGTCTTACTAAAATGTCTATGTTAAAAATTAAAATACAAATAATTATACGTATTGCATATGAAATTTGGGTTTTAAACTAAATTTTACTTTACCAACACTTCTCTGCTTTCTCAGAGATTAAAAAGAAATCTTTCTCTTAAATCCTAATACGTTTGGATCTTCCATTCTATTTCAAGAGTACCAAAACTGCCGCAAGAAAGCTAATACATATTAAACAAGAAAGTGACACATACATATTAAAATCATCAGATAAATTCTTTTTTGGTTTATTTAAGAAGTAAGAAAGGAAATTTATATTTCATTTTGTTTTTATTACAGATAATGGAAAATCGCTGTACTAGTGATAAGTGTGTTTATGGGCAGTGCATAGACCACATTGTGTTAGACAGAACCTCTGCTTACAGTGTAACTACAGATGTATTAAGTTATGTTTCTCCACACCATTACAGGAAGTTGGAATGCCAGTGTGATCCAGGATACGGAGGTAAATACAACAAAATTCTTTTAATTTATGGTTATGTTTTGCAAATTATTTTGCAAGATGCCAGATAGATTATAGAAATCAAACTCTTTCTTACTTTTACATTTTAGTCATCATTGTCTTTGTTTGTTTTTCCATTACCTTTGAATTCTTTCTGTATTTTTACCAGTTTGTCTATATATAGTAGACCCCCTATAACAGGGGTGGCCAACAGTTTTTGCCCCCGGGCCGAATTGGAAAGAAATCTTTTTTTATGGGCCAAACTAGAGGCTGCCTTAGGAAGATTTTGAGGTGGTGCGAGATTTCATTGTGGTGTCACCCTGTAGAGACTAAATTGCACATAGAGATTACAGATACATTTTCACATTATCATGCTTTATTAACATTCTACGCTGTACTTAAGAGATTTGTAATGGAGGGTTAACTCTAAACGCACAGTGAGTTGATTTTTTTTAGGCGTCAGAATTTTTCATCGAGCTATTTGAACTTGAGTAACTAATATTCAAAGATTAATCGCAGGCCGCATAAATTCATTAGATGGGCTGGATCTGGCCCGCAGGTTGTATGTTGGCCATGCCTGCCCTATAACATGGTAGATACATTCTGTGTTATATGAATTCCATGTTGTATGAGTCACTTAAATTTCACAAGTACATGATCCATTCACAGCCTGGCACTTGTGCAGTTTAGGGGATACGGCTGTTTGAAAGGTTTTCTTCCATAAAATTAATCAATTCTAGGCTAATTTGACTTGAACATTTCCAAAACACGTATAATTTTTTGGGAATAATCCATATAAAATATGCTATAAACAAAAAATTGTAGGAATACTTACTGAGTGTGAGCACCATTTGAAGATGTCATTGCTTAAGCTTGTTTTTGTCGTGGAGCGGCTCATTGGACAGCAGATGCATGTTTCCTAATAAGTGATTCTTTCTGCGAAAAATTTGTCAAACTTTGGAGACACTATTAATAGAAATATAATTTTTATGGCCGTTGAATAATAAATGTTTTTTAGTAGGTCCGCTGCTCGTTTAAACTCAGCGGTTTGTGCAATGTCCACTATTGGTCCAGATTCGACCAATCCTATTGAGACACAAGTCGGCCATGACAATCTGTATCATTCTTTTACCGTGTTAGGCCAGGAACACACGTGTGTAAAATTGTGTGGCAGAAAACTGAATCAGAAATCAGCTTTCAGTTCAGTTTCTGTTTTATGCTTTTATGCCAGAACACACGTAAAAATTCTGGCCAAATAGGAAATGCCACTGCTGCTAACAGCACTACATTTTATTAATTTTTTTCTCTCATATATCTATCTCTTTGTACCTTCCATTTTTTCTCTGCTTCCTCTGCTATAATATAGAAAATTTAAATTAATAGAATTGTATTCCAAATTCAAATAAAGAACATGTGATCTAAATACTAGGCCTATATATCAATTCTACTAGACCTACCTGTTATTTGAAATTTAGCACCTATAGCCATCCATAAACGTTTAAATACAGTGTCTTTATACATGACATGGATGTGGTCGAACGGATTCAATAAACTCCTCTATTTCATTTATTTTTCGTTTTTTTGAGATTGCCACAATTGTAGGGTGCATTTGCTCCCATTGCTCATTGCTGCCATTGTTAGAATAAAAACCATGTGTCTACTTTGATGTCACAAAATAAGACTTCTTTTTATTGGAGGAATTTTGGTGTAAAAATTTTACTGCGCTCTACTTTCTTTTCAGTTACATTTCAGCCAAAATTTCAGAAAAAATTGTATGCTTTCTGTTTTATGCTAGATTTTACGCCGAATTTTAGGCATGTGTGTTCCTGGCTTTAGGTCTGTGGCTGAAAATTATCATAAATCATATTGTCCCAAGGATTATTTACATATTTAAATAACAATGATCAAACAAATATTTTTGGGTCAGTTTAAATTTGTCCATTATTAAATTCCAGCCAGAGACAGATGGTTAGCAACTTGAAGATAAAATACAGTTTTCTTTTTTAAAAATGACCAACAATATGACAATAAAAACACATACTTTATACACTTGATACTTTTCTTGTAGAATCCGACGCCAACAACACATATTACTAAAAGTTTTCCCAGTCAAAAGTTATCAATCAGGTCACTGTTGTATTTAATTAAACACCATTCTGAAGATTCCTGGTGGAAATGCAGAAATTCAACAATACTTGCATAATCACATAAATCGTACTGTTTCAAGGATTATTTACATATTTAAATAATATCAAATTGACTCAAAATTGTTTATTTGGTCATTATTATTTAATTATATTCTTATACTAGCAACGTGTGCTCGGCATTGCTCGGGTTTTTAAAGGTAAGTGGAATTGAGAGAGGTGATAAAAATAATTGTCTTAGTAACTAAGTGTGCATTTATTGACCTGAATATTTATAATAATGAAACTTTAAGAAACAAAAAATTAATTGGGCTTTAGTTAAAAGGAGGTGGATTTTCGGGTAGTTGAGGATGGGGACTCCACATTTTTTTTCTACGAAGTCGAAGAATATAATGTTAAATTTTGTATGGATATGTTTAATGGTGTAGGATCCTTTGCATAACAAACATACAGTGGAACCCCAGTTAACAAACTTAATCCGTTCCGCGACTCTGTTCATTAACTGAATTGTTCGTTAACTGAAGCAATTTTTCCCATAGAAATTAATGCAAATACAATTAATTTGTTCTAGTCTCCAAAATTTTTTGTGATTTTATTTGTAATATACAGTAATTTTCTTTGATGAAAATGTAGGAAAACGTAGTATCTATCATTACAGCAACAAAGATGTAAACTTTGTTTAATAAAATAGCACTGTACATAGCTTCGTTTTTTGTAGTTGGTGGCAGAAAAGTGGAGATATATGAACTTTAATGTTTAGAAGGGGAATCCCCTCCAAAAAATAATGGGTAGCACTTCATCAGAAGATTCTTCGAGTCAAAGTCTCTTTCAGTAAAAAGAGTATTAACCACCAGTGGCTAAGGGGTCTTCGTACTTTGAACATGGGGAGTTCATTTGTGGGTTTGCACCTTGCTCAGACAGGCTTGCCACATGGAGTTTTCCGAGATTTCTCCACATCTGTAATGCCTAAATAGGGGCCAGTTTCCCTTAAAAAAACCTCCCAGAAGGCATTCCCCTAGGCCAGGGGTCGGCAACCTGCGGCTCACGAGCCACATGCGGCTCTTTGGATGTGAAGCTGCGGCTCTTTAGTTCCATACGCAAATATTTATTTTATCAAAAAAAAAAAAANATATAAAAACAATAAAAAATTATACTTCAGATGTTAATTTAGTATCAAAAACGTAAAATATTTGAGTAGTCCGAGAAATAGCCGAAGATTGCAGCGCCACAGCACTAGCGAAAACTTAAATTTACCGACTGGAATGCTTTCGGATAACGGACGTTTCGGATAACCAGCTTTCGGATAAACAACGCTCTACTGTATTTATTGTTGGCAAGAAAAAATTTTGTGGCTCTTTAAAAACTTTGAAATTTTGTAAATTGTAATTTTGGCTCTTCCGACTCAAAAGGTTGCTGACCCCTGCCCTAGGCAGATCGCCCAAGTGTTGTGTTGCCATAACTTAACAAATTCTTTCCGTAAGGAACAAGAAATTGATCTAAAGTTGATTGTCTTACTCTTTTAATCAAAATTTTTCTCAAATGCAATAGCCATTGTCGTTTATATTGCATTGTCATTTTCTATTGCTACTATGACTTTTTCTTTCTTGGATGCCATATTGATTAAATATATAAATCACAAAACTGAAAAAAGAAGTATAGCACAAACACTCGGAAAAGCAATGCTTAACTCGCGCATGCCTAACACCAACTAAAATTTGACACAAAATACCGTTACATTCATTATCTGAATTTTGTTCGTTATCTGAGACAAAATTTTTGCAAAATAAAAGTTCGTTAACCGATTTGGTCGTTAACCAGGACGTTCGTTAACTGGGGTTCCACTGTACATAACTACATATTGCACTGTATATGTGAGATAAGCCAGAGGCTATAAGGGGGGTACCCTAGTAACCACTTAATTGGCACAGGTTGTTAAAACCTGACCTCGGTGTTGTCGGATGGCAATAGGAGGGCATAAGCGAGTGGGGAGGTCGATGGGTAAGTTGATAGGTATCCTTGTGCCGAGAAAGACAGGTTGACAGGTTTAACAAATAAACAAAGCATTTATTATATGACTAAATATAAGATACAAGAGGCTACACATAGTTAGATACATATACAGGTTATATACAGTTAAATGCAGTTAGCATACGGATACAAAGTCTAATAATTCCAATGAAGCTACTCTATGATAGCTATGCCTAATTTTGTTGAGAGAGTTTGCAGTCTGCTAATAATTACCTCTAATGTGGGTGAAGAGCAATATGCGGTGATACACAGTTCTATATGGAAGTGTTGGGAGTCAATGTCTTCTACTGGGACTGGATCATGGAGGTCCGGGAGACGGAAAGGTGCTATTACTAAATACAACTTCTGAGTGCAAACTTTCGAGCTTCTGGTGGCTCTTGCTTTTATACAATTGTTGTGGGAAAGGGGTTACGTGATCGTTCGTTGTTGATGATGACGATGCATTCTTGACAGCTAACTGTCAACATTCCCACTGATTTGTTACTACTGGTGACCTTCGATCTGATTCTCGCAAGGAGAGTTTTTTTCTATCAGAGCTTTACAATTAAATTTCTGACAAATGCGTTAAATTCATGGATTTCACATATATATATATAATTTATTCAATATACTGACGCTGTCAAATTTGATGATCATGTTAACTTTCTGATTTAAAACTAACTCTGATGCCCACAGAGCCTGGATATGTGTCATGTCCATTTCATGATGTCCTGCCCACTTGTCCATTTTCTTATATAGCTTAGTGTCTATTTTAGGATATAAATAATACTCATACAAACTTTGTTTCAGATTGGTTAAAGAATAAAGATTTGTTTAAAAGACAAAGGACAATAAATTTATAAAATAACAAAAAATAATTTATTTTTCTTATTTTATGGTAAATGAAAACATCATGTAGTTTACTTTTGAGGAGGCTTAAATTTTAAAGAATTTATTGCAGCTATTAAAAATAAGGAGGTGCTGTTTTGAGGATTTAGTGGTAATATGAAATAATATGCAAAGAATCAATAAGATAAAGCAATTTATATATAAATTACAAAAATACATAATGCTTGCATGCATACACTCTACAC